ATGGCTCTAAAAACCATGTGATTCACTTGTCTCCTCGAGCTAAGAACCATGGTTGGGAATGAAAGAGGAAGCTACTCTGCCTCTAAAACTACTGAGTTTTTATGTACACTGAAGCCACCCTCCTTCCTTTGGCACAGAGAGATCAGAACAGTCCAGAAAATGTCATGCACTCTATCAGCTAATGAGGCATCAGTTAGGGCTTTTACTCATAGTCTTAATTTGATGTAGAAAGGCAGCTTCTGCAGCTGCAGCTATATAACTCTAAGTGAACAAGCAGGAGTCAGCAGTGAACACACATATAGTAGGCTCACTGCTGCACAGCAGCTATAGAACCAATTATGGACTGAATAAAATAGTTTCTTAGAATGGGCTTAATCCCCCACCCTCCCGTAGCTGCTTAAAGTTTAGGATTCTGGTCTATGTTAGTGTCCTCCTGCAGGTGATAGTCTACAATCAAGACTTGCTTCACTGGGGCATTTATCTTTATTGTGCAAAATAAAGTATCTCTGAAAACCTAAATACAGAATAATTCAGAGGGGTGGTCTCTGGAGATTTCAGGGAATACATCAAAGACCGTGAAAGGCAACTACAAAAAGTGTGGCTATTCTTGTAAGACTTAAATTTCCTCCTGCTGGTTCAGTAGTATTTCCACAGTAGCTTTGCCTTGGTGCAGCACTGTTGCATTGGTGCAGCACTGCAAAGCTGATTGAAGATAATTTTGAAACTGTCTCAATAAATGAAGCACTGGTCAAACCAGAGCTGTCTTTATCCCTGAGATTACATGCAGAGAAAATTATAGCCAGAAATCTGATTTGGGGTTTTTGTTGTGTTTAGTTTAGTTTTGTTTTGTTTTGGTTTTTTTACTTTCTATCAAACATCAAGCTAGCTCTGTTTGTAATACTGATAAAACATTTGGGAACTGTATCAAAAGTTCTTCAGTTTTGGTTGCAGTGATGATTGATGGGATTTTAATCCTGCTGGCATTTGCATCAAGTAGGAAGTGGGGAAAGCCCTTAAAATGCTCAATTGGCTTTAATACCCCTAACATCTGTTGAAGTTTTTGTTTTAGTTATATATGTTCTCTGGCTGATTTCAGTGCTACAGAAATTCTTAATGCCTCATCTTTACTCTCCCCGGTAGCTGTCATTGGGCATTGCCTCTGAGAGTTGGAGGCTAACAGAGATGACTGAGCCAGGTGCATAAATATTATGTTATACTTATGTACAATACATTATATTGAAAACATATTCTGTATTTTCATAACTTGAAGCAGGGATTTTGGAAAGTATCATCTATTGGATGCAATGTATATATTTCTCTATATAGATTTAAAAAGTAACTATCACACATGCAGACTCCATGTGTGTGGTCAGTATTTTGGAAGTCCCGTTGCCGTGTCAACCAACTGACACGGACTCAATTAACCTACAGAATTACCAGCCCCCTCTCATTCCATCATATCTATCTCTACTGGGATTGACATGCAACCTGAAGATTAAATACTGATTTTCTTTTGTGAGTAGTGAAAAGTCTGTTTTTTAAACTAGTAGTGCAACTTGACTTTTTAAGATTTTTGTAAATTGATGTGGCGCGTAAGGAAAAAATGTATTTTTCAGAATATAGTTTTGAGGTTCTGAGGTCAATAAAGAACAATGCAAGAAGCATTTTTATAGTTTAGTATTATGAATGTCCATCAGAATTTTCCCCTAAGCATACACTCAGTTCATGTATTGGTTATGAGCCTGATTTAGACAATCAGTTCTGCTCTGCTTTTATTAAATATAGATAGGAACCCTTATGTCTGTTATAATCAGCTGAAACAAGAGCATGCTTGAAACTGTAGGGCTTTTAGCATGAAAATTTCACCAGTCTTAGAAGACAGAACCAAAGAGAACACATTTTCTTGTTTTCACGTACACCATGAAAGCAAAAGAAGTCAAGATATCTTTACTGTCTTAGCATGGCGTAATAGAATAGAATTGGTGAAAACAGTGACTAATGTGTGCTATTTAACAAAGCTAGAAATTCTACCTGGCATTTGTTCCAAATCCCAAATGCAGTGCCTCTGTTTCATAACCACCAAGGGAACATGGAACAGTACACTGGTTAAAACTGTCCACCAAATACTGCATTTGATCTTCTCATTCATATATCTTTCTTTCACAAGGTCCTTATGCTGAGGATCATGATGTTTACTTTAAAGATAGAGCATTTTTAGTAACATTGTAGATTGATCTGTTCATAGATTTTGATTGCAGAAGATTTCACTAACTTGACATCCCATAAAACTAAGCCAAAATATTGTACCAGGTGTTTCTAAACAAAACCTAACCCCTCCAGGACGAGCCAAGATAGTCATTGTATAGCATTTCCTTTATGACCTGCTTTCCTAGGTTAATGTTGTGAGACTGGGTTTCATATCTCCCTCTCCACCTTCTTTCAAGGAGAGCAAGCAGGTTTTTGTCCTGACTGAGAAGGTGTGTTAATCTCTCATCTCTGCCTGAAGGGATTAAAATTTACATCTTGTAAATCCTAGAAGAATGCTTCCTTCATCATCCTGGATGCTTAGTGTTGACAGGAGTCAGGTGCTTCCTGGTATCCAGGGAAGAACTCCAAGAATGTGTGAGCAGTCATGGCAAACAGTGCACCTAATCACTTGAGAAGCCTCGGGAGTCAGACTGAGGGTGGGTGGAAGTCTCGGGTATTGCAGTTTTGACAATATATATGTTGCAGAGTAGGAGTTTGGTAGCATCTAGGCAGTTAGCATCTGTTAGCATTTGGGAAGTTAGCTTAGATGGAGCCCTAAGAAAACGTATTTAAGAAAATGGAACCTGTTGGAACATTATCATCTTAAATCTATCAATGTGAATTTCAATTATTGACTCCACTGAAGTCATGGGAGCTATTGCACATCTTTGTACAGTTCAGTGTAAACACATCAGTCTAAACTCAGCTTCTGCATGCATAAAAAGGCAACACTTTATTTATCTACCTCATATCTCGGTTAATACCGCCATTGTACTTTGAGTCTATACTAGTCAACATTAGTAAATTTAAAGGGAATATTCCTGAGCATTGGAATGAAATTGCCTATGATACTAATTTGTCCTCGGTGTATCTTTGGCCCATGCCAGCTATCCCATTCCCAGATTCATGGTGGAGTTTACCTCATAAAAGGGATTAATGCAGTTTCTGACAGTGTCCACTGTCTCTTCAAAAGGAAGAAAGCTACATTAGCCATACTGTTCAACAGCTCGTGTGTTACTCCATGCCAGCTGGTCCCCATTCCAGACGTGCCAGAGATGTCTGGGTACATCTAACTTATGAGGAAAGACGCAGTCTGACATTCCTGAGTTGAATTGGTGTGCGCTCAGAACACAGGCTGCTCCTTCCTTATGGGATGGTGACCAGAAACGACACAGAATTTGTAACTGTAAGCTAGGGGAGACCCAAGCAGTTTTTTTGTTGATTTCCCAAACACCTCTTTCAGTTCTGCAGCTGCATGTACCTTTTTCCAAAGAATTACTTTCGGTGAAAGACTACTTGAAATGTAATTGTAGCAACAGAACACCAAGCTGTATACTACCTGGCTTGTTTTCCACCTTCCCTATCTCCTTTAGGTGATCCTAATGTGTCAATATTTGTTATGACTAACTTGTAAATATAGCCATACCAAGTTATGCCATGCAAAGGGCCTTTCTTTCTCACCGTTGAACTGCTCGCTCAATTTATCTTTTTCTCTGAGTCTTAAGGTGACTGGAAACAAACCACCAACCAAAGAGGAGGAAGGATTCTGGAATCTTGACAAAGTGTTCTTGCTCAGTCTTGCCTCCGGGTGTCTTTCTTCATCATGTGGTACATTTTTCCTTTTTTTTTTTTTTTTTTTTTTTTTTTTTTTGGTAACTTCATTGTGACAGCATGGGCTAAGGTTTTTGCAGCAGCAGACAAAAATGCTCTTTATAAGCTGTTTTTAACGGAAAGATAAATCGGCTAACATAGGTAAAAATAATAAAGCCGTACTTAGGGAATACAATGGCATCAAGTAAGAGACGCGAGACGGCAATCGCCATTTTCTCGTCGGTCCGCCGGAGGGCTGCCCCCCGCCCGCCCCCTGCCCGGCGGGAAGCGGCGGCTCCGCCGGGGGGCGGGAGGGGGCGACCGTTAACGGACCACCCCCCACCACCCCCCACACCACGGCGCCGCCTGGCGGCGGGCGGCGGCGGCGCCGGAGCTCCGGCTCGGGCGGCGGCCGCTGGGGGGCGCCGTTGGAGCCGCCCGCGGAGGGGCCGGCGGCGCGCGCTACCTGCCCGCGGGGGGCCGTTGGGGGCCGCGCGGACCCGCCCGCCGTTACCGTTGCCGGGCGCGGCCCGCGCCGGCTCCGCGGGGGGCGGGTCCCGTCGCCTCGCGGGGCTCAGGAAGCGCGCCTGCCACGCGGCCCGGCTCCGCGCTTGCCCGTCCCAGCTGCCAAGGGAGAGGTTTAGCCACACAATCAAAGTAAACAGGAAAGTTCAGCCGGATCGGGTTTCACCCCCGCTGCTCCGCACGTTCCGAGGGGCTCCGCGGGGAGGGCAGCGGAGGACTCGGGCCGAGTTTACTTTTTTTTTTTTTTTTTGGGGGGGGGGGGGGGGGGGGGGAGGATGCGTGTGGCGGAGGCTCCCGCTGGAGGGGTCCGCCTTGCGCAGGGAGGCTGTCGCCCCCCCCGGTCTTCCACCGCCGGCTCCCCTTCGCTCGGGCTGTTACCCTCGGCTGAGGGAGCGGGCGGCTGAGAGAGCCGGCGGGGCTCTCCTGCCGGAGGGCGCTGCCTTCGCCCTCTCCCTCCTCCTCCTCACCCCACCCGGCCCCGCTGGGAGCGCTTCCAGGCAGCGCCGCGCCGAGAGCCCAGGAAGCCGCCTCGCCACCCGGGACTGCCCTTGCCAAGAACCGGCGAGAAAGGCGACACGCCCGCCTCTTCCACCCAGACCCCGCTCCAGCCGCCTCTCCGCGGGCTTCCCGGTCGGCGGGAGAAGAAAATAACCATTCCCTTCCCCGGCGGCTCGCCCCCGCCCCAACACCTCCCCTTCCCCGCCGCAGCCAGGCCCGGAGTTCCCGGTAAACAGGCGGCTTCCCCGCCCGCCCCCGCCACCCGGCCCCCCGCGGGGGACGGCGGGGAGCGCGGCGGCTGCGGCCGCGGGGCCGGGGACCCGCCTGACGGGGAGCCGCGCCAAGGCCATGAATATTTCAGAGGCTCCTCAGCGCGCTTCTAATTAAAGGCTCGGGCAAGGCGCGTCCCCCCCGCCCCGTCCCCCGTCCCCATCTTCCCGCCGCCGCCCCCCTCCCGCTCCCCGCACACACACACTTGGGACCGTCTCCTTACGTCGGAGAGAGGCGAAGGAGTGACTGAGCCCTGCCCGGGAGCGCCGAGCGAGGGGGAGGGACGGGGGGGGACCGGGGCGGGAGGGAAGGGAGGGCGGGAAGGGGGGGGCTTGTGCAAGCAGCGACGCTCCCGAGGTTGCCAAGTGGACTTTTATTGTTTTCCACCCACTTCCAAGTCGATACTATCTGCCGTCTCATGTCCATCCTATAGCCTATATAAGCGGCTGCGCCGGGGCTGGCGGCGATGGAGTAGTTCGTGGATACGGCGGGAGCGCAGGGACGGGACGGGGGCGGGCGGGCCAGCCGCGGAAAACTTGGACACCCCGCCGCTCGCGGGCTGCTGCCGCCCGGGGAGAGCCGGGGCAGCGGCTCCGGGGGGGGAAGACACCTCGGCTTCTGGGACGGAGAGACAGGTAAAGCGGCCGGGAAGGGCCAGCGACCCTCCTTCCTCCCCGTGTCTCTCCCCACGCCCCCACCCCTCCCGCCCCGTTGAGCCGGAGCGCTGCGGGGCCACGCCGGTGACAGCCCGCGGGCGGGAGGCGCCGGGCGCCCGCCGAAGTTGGCAGGGGAGAGCCGCCGCAACGCAGCGTGGGGCAGCCGTGTGCGTGGGCCGGCCGCCCGCGGCACCCAGCGCAGGGGTCAGGTAGCCGTCCCAAGGCGAGCGGCTCCGGGGCTGAGGCAGCGTTCCCCGCCGCGCCTGGCTGCTGCTCCCGGTGGAGGTGGCCGTGGCCGCCCGCGCCCCGTCCCCGAGCCGGGAGGGAGAAAGGACCGAGAGTGGGAAGGCTGCCGGTGCCGCGCCCTACCCCCGGACAGCTGCCCCCCCTCCCGCCGCCCCAAGCCGCGCACCGCCCGTCCCGGCGCTCCTGCCCGCAGCCCCGGCGCGGAGCCCTGCAGCCGAGGGCGGGTGGGAAGCGGGGAGGTGGGGTGGGGGCTGGATGGGTACGCAGCTGCCGCGGCTCTCCGGCAGAAAAAACAAAAAAAAAAAAAAAAAAAAAAAAAAAAACTTCAAGGAAAGTTGTCGCCCCTCGCCCGCTCCCCGCCGCGGGCGGGGCGATAGGCGCCGCTAGCCCGTCGCCACCGGCGATCTGCTCGCCCGGGGCAGCCCTCGCCTCGCCCCGCTCCGCGGCTGCGCAGCCGCCGGGGCCGCGGGGCGCAGGGCCAGCCCGGGGGGCAGCGGCGCTCCCCGGGGCGCACCCAGGTCCTGCCGGGCCCCCCGCAGCCCGGCGCCGCGCTGCCGGAGCGGGGAGCGGGCTGGGCTCCCCCCCGGGTAACCTGCGAAGCAGTCTCCGCGCTTCCCTCCTGTAACGTGTCCGGTTTCAGCCCCGTGAGTCTCCCCACCTCCGACCCACCCCCCGTTTTTCTCTTCCAGTGAAATAGGAGGCCTCCCACAGCGGCGGATCCTTCCTTTTCATCTGCTCCTGCACCCTTCGGGTCAGACTGCAATGAGTGGACTGAGGTCTCCTGGGCTGCTAGGGCTGGTGCTCTTAATGCTCTCAGCAGGATATTGTAAAGAGAAAACTGACTCCGCAGATTTGAGGGAGAGGCAAAGTCTCTTAAATCTCATCATGGAGATCATTCAGGAACTGAAAAGGTACCACCTGGAGAAGGACAGTGGGGTGCAGTACTTCTCCAAGCATGACTATAACTTAGATCGCAGGGAAGTGGCCGACTACGGGGGATACCAGGACGAGCAGAGAGTCGGTAAGTCACAGTCCATGACTTAGGAGGGGTTTTTTTTCTCTAGGGTGCCTTGAGAAATGAGACATCACATCAGGTTACTAATTTTATATCAAGAATTCACCGCTTAATATACCTGCAGATTCCCTTGTGTATCAGAAACAGACACAGACAGCAAATTTGGAATAGAAAAACTCCATTCACATCTCAGAGTCTCTTGCTCTCTGGATACATTATTACACAACTGAAAGTCTGACTTCCTGTGTGTTGGCTTTGAAGGAAACAATAAGGGAAAAGACTGAAATGGGCTGAGATCAAAGAAATAAGGGATGAAAACTCTCTTTTTCCTGGAAGTTTACCACTTTTTAAAATGTACATGATTTCAGTGTTCCTTGGAAATGACCCTAGAAAGGGTTCCCCTGCAGGACTATAGTGTGTCCTTACAGATCTCACATCTGGAAGTCTTTCCTGCAGCTCAGCTTCACTAAACTTTTTGCCCTGCTTGTTAGTCCCTTCTGTTCTCTGGAGGTAGCACCTTTGAAATACTAGGGAACTGGAACGCAGTACTACTCTGTCACTGTACAAGCTCTGACCACTTTGGGACACTCCTGCAGTCATCCTTCTACTCAGCTGAGTGGCTCTTCTCTAACCTCTGGTGAAAGCCTGGGTTGGTTTGTGAGATGTTCAGGGTTGTACAGAGCAGTCCAGCAGCAGTCATACCGCGCCACATAGCGATGGATAGTTGCTGCTCAGTTTCATCGTGTACTTCTGTGCATCCAGCTGAAAGTTGATTTGGCTTCTGCAGCTGCTGTATCTTATTTACTGCTCACTGTCACTCCCCCAGCCCCCTACAGCATTACTGCTGCTCATCTTACCCCTCCTACCGACTTTCTGAATATTTTCCAGCAGATATCTATTCACCTTTTTCCAAACTGGCTTTCATTTTGCTAGTATGCTATTTATTTTGCCTTTATTGATCTCATAAGGCTTCGTTGTAACTTTTCTTCATTCTTAGTTGATATTCAAACATCCTCATGATTTGCATTTGGTGGTGGTTGTCATGAAAATGTTACTTCTTCATCTGGACCACTAATGAATATAAAAAGGAAGACAGTTTTGCTCCGCTTAAGAACAGCATAGTGAGAACATTTTGTTTCATAAATGTTGAAAAGTTAGAGGCCAGATCTGCACAACTTGATCTCAGTGTGGAATGTGGGCCACCCTACATCAGCCTATTGGTGTGAAACATCTGGTTTGTGCTGAACAGTTATCTATGTAAATAATAAACCTACTTTAGAACAGATTAGTTAGTAGTGGTGTCACTGACTCCTAAGCAGGATTTTTCATTCTGTTATTATAATGGAGTTTTTCTCAGCAACTCTGAAAAGGAACTACTGCTTACAGTCTTTCATTTCAGTTTTGGCATCATTTTCTCTGTGAGCCTGTCCCACAGGAAATTTCTGAGTGAAGCATGTGTGTTTTTAATGCTCTTCATGACATAATTAGGTCAAATATGATAAGGTCAATTTTACTTACACTGACTAAAGTTAGAAGTAAATGAAGAATGACTTTCGAGAAGTGTCTAACCTCACAAGTGAATCAGATCTGGATGGAAATGCTCTCTGCTTTATATCTGATAAGAGGTGCCAGGGGAACGAAAAAGGCTGCTCAAGCATTTATGGTCAAATAAATAAAGCACCATGCAGTGTATCATACACAATCAGCACTAAGCTATCAGCATAGAGTTCGTAACGGAAAGCAATCAAAGATAGCTGTAAATCAGGAAGAGACAAGCAAGGGTTAGGGCTAAAATGGATTTCAGTAAACCAGTTTCATTTTGCCATCTGCCGAACACAAAACGCAAGGCGGTAAACCGCAAGCGTAGGGAGCCAGAAGAGAGCAATTTGCTTGGGACCATTTCCTGTGAATTTTATTTACTGCTAGAGGGGCAAAAAAAAAAAAAAAAACCAACCCATTCCTGTAAGTAGATCAATCCAGTTTCATGATTACAGAAGGACAGTGCTTGTACAAGCATACCTGTGACAGAAGAATGGATATATTTGCATAAGAGAATTAAAATAGACTAAACCAAACTTGAATATATCTTTGTGTCTTTACTAGCAGAATATGTCATTTCTGAACTAAAATTTCTGGAAAAATGTAAATCTAGGTAAACTATGATAATGGAATTCATAGAGAGCTAAAATCTGACTCAGTTAATCTTCATCATCGTTAATGACTGCACACCTAACAGACGTTGCTTTTTTCATCATCACAGTGTGTTTCACAGTGCATTTTACAGTGGTTTCTTATGTAAAACAAATGCTTGCAATTTGGCCCGCTGTATGCAAGTGACTTAGCCTCTGTGTTTATTCCCTGTCCTCATACTACACTTGGCAAGCATAGTTCCAGTGCAGCAGAGTGACTACTCTTTTCTTCTGTCCAACAGAAATAGTTCCCAGAGATCTGAGGATGAAAGACAAATTTTTAAAGCATTTGACAGGTATGTTTTAATTTTACATTGCTATCCATCATTTCACATACATAGCATAAGCTGCACTCTTCTTCCTGTGAGCTGTGCTGATTCATAACTTATTTTTTCTTTATATTTCAGGTCCACTCTACTTTAGCCCAAAATGTAGTAAACATTTTCATCGGCTTTATCACAATACAAGGGACTGCACCATCCCAGCATGTAAGTGCCAAAACCAGAGACTTTCATAAAACAGCAGAAAACTCTTAAAGAGCTCTGTGAGGTACCAGTAGTGATACAATGCTACAATACATTCCTTGCAATGAAGAATTTGGAGTGCTCTGACATGGACTAAGTATGCTTTACTGAGTTGCTAGAACAGCATCAGCGTTACAATGAGGAAAACACAACTTTTTCACTGCAAATACACTGCATAGAATGGCTGTAAACACTGCTTCCTTAGGTACCGATGTATATGCGTCTTTGGTCCCAAACCAAAGGTGTTTGTTTTTCATAGGAACACATAACTCCTCTCACAAACCTCTAATCTATAATTGTTAGTGCTTCAGATTCAAGATAGGATCAGAAATCCAGGTGGGGCTATTTCCTTTTCATTGATTATTTATGTAGAACATATTTTAGAGACATTTTATATTTTGACTGTTCGGCTACCAACCTACCAGTGATGTTGACAGTGGATCTTTGCAATGCTTGTCTTCAGTGAATTACTGAAGTATAACTTCCTAAGGCTTAGTAAGAAAAAACTAAAAAAAAAAAAAAAAAAAAAAAAAACCAAACAGTGCTGGACAGACATAAATTAGCAAATGCAGCTTATGATATCTCATCAGTGCTGGCAGCACAGAGAATTAAAATTAAAAAATCAAACACTGACATTTATCAGTCAGTAGATGTGACTCCAGATTGATACTGAGGTGGACCTGTTGAGTAAGCAGATGTTATTTTAGTACAGCCTTTTCAGAACTGAAACACACTTTATTTTACTTGTCTGAGGTCAACCAGTTGGGTCAGTAGCAGAGCTGGGAATAGAAACAAGAGTTACAGATTCCAAGTTTTAAGTATTAATAAATATTTCAGCCCAATATATTTTAAAGGCATATTTGGTAAGAGTAGCAGACTTTTTCCCTATTTGTAAGGCTTCAGATTAGGAATACCTTGAAAAGATAAGGATTTATAGATAATGGCTAACCAGATCACATTCCATCTAGTAGGATGGAGGAGGAAGTTGTTCATAACTAGTCTGTTTTGAACAAGCAAAATGGTCATATTACCTTTTTCATAAGGATCACAACACAAACATCATTTGACTCAGTACTAATGAGTACTTCAAGCTGTGTAGCTAAAAACTAGTTGGTCTTAAAGTCTGAATTAGCCTTTTCCTCCTGACAGGTGTCATACCCACCGACATAATGTCTGGATAATGGAGGATAATTTGTATGAATAGCAATTACAGCATATCTATGCTGTGAGTTAGGGACTGTTAGCATTGCATCTCTAGGAAACATTAGATGTAGTTACTCATTAATGAAATAATGCCTAACGAAAATCAACATCAGTCACCAGACTGGACCGACTACCATCTCCTTAAAGTAACTTTCTTCTAGGAAAATGAGGTAAACAACATGCTTTAATTCCTCATACACAACATGATGTTACTTTTTGGTTATATCTTGATTTCAGGTAATATTTCCTGTTCATTCTTTGTAGAAATTCAAAGGCCCAACAAAGAAATGAAAAGTGTCTATGATGCTGCAACATGATGGTAGCCAGTACAGAAGCATTTTGTTGGCATAACTTCTAGTACTTTGTACAGCATAGTAGCATTGGCACCTAAAAAGTAATTTACTCTGCTGTCTGTTCATAATCAACTTTCACAAGGTTTGCTTTCAGTTTGGCATGGTAAAGGAAAAAAAATAATCCCTTGATTAATTTTGCAGTTTTGCCTTGGTTCTGCTCCTTACAATGAATGCATCAAAAAGCAGAAGGTAGATAAAATAAGAACTACTAACAATAGGACTACTGTGGAAAAAGCCAATTTTACTAGTTTTAAGATGAAACTTGATACAGTTATGAATTAATTGGTATGATGTGGTCACCTGCTCATGCTGGACTTAATATTCCTATGACTAGGAGATGTTGTTCATCTAATTTAACAGTTTTTCCAGGAAGAAAATCTATTGGAGAGTTGCGTTAAGTTGATGGACTTGCTCACTGAGGGATAGATTTCAAAGAGGGGTGAGCACTACTTACTCTTCCTCTAGTATGAAAATACTAGTCACATGTTTAGATCCCACACTTAAGCACAGACACAGATGTATAAATTTTCATACATACATACACTTGGAGAGCCTCCAAGCACATTCATGCTATGTGTTTATAGACAGTACATATGCAGAAGTGAGTTGCATAGTTACATGTGCCATTAGACATGGCTTTCAGTTACGCAATTTTTACACATTCATTTCTAATTCTGAGGAGCTGATTTCTATACTCTCCCAAACTAAGGTGTTCACTGAACTTTATTATGATGATAATTTGCACACTGTTACCGGTTTTGATTTTTAAAGGCCAAACTGGTTACTTTAGTAATCTCTTTATGCTCTTTTTTCATGACAGACTATAAAAGATGTGCCAGGCTTCTTACTCGGTTGGCAGTAAGCCCAATGTGCATGGAAGGATAAAGGTAAGCTTTTTCTATAACAGTAATGACATTCTACTGCATACCAAAGCAGTGGATTTTGTGTTCCATACATGAAAATCCCTTGGAGTATAATAACAGTTGGCCTTTGGCTAAGGTATTCCTCTTTCAGAGTACCTGAAGTAACTGGCTTAATCTGGCTAATACTGGCAATAAACAAAGGGTACCCCCTACTGGAAGTCATTATATAAAAGTCCATGTGCATCAGCTGTGAATTATTCATAGCAGCATACAGTTAGCAGATAGTGAATTTGTTGTTACAGAACAACGCACAACAGCTGTAGCTTATTTGTCAAAAGTTGACTCAGTGCACAATTGCCTGTATTGGCAGCAGCAGCCCTTTCATATGTGCAGCTGGAAATCTATGGCGTACGTTTTAGTATGAGTTAATATATACATAGCTATACACATGAAACCTTTATAAATGCAGGTAAGTTGAGGGTGCTTTTATAGTAATTATAAGGTATTATTAGTAGCATTGATTAACTTTAAGCTACTCTGATTTCTTAGGATTTTCCTTGTGTTCACCTCTCATGCCTATGGGTTTATTCCCTCCCTTTTTGCTTAGATGTACCTCTAATTCCTACAAATAATCAGGGAATTTCACCATGCACCAAAATAAAAACAAAAGCCAACCAACCAAAGAAGTACTTCCAAACTATCTCTAGAAAACTGACACGTAAGAATACAAAAGGACTAATGTCCTCAACCTTTACCTGAGACAGAAATGTGACCTCTGACAAAGGGATATGTAATAACCCATATGGATTTGTCAGTAACAAAAGCTGTCAAAGAGATATTTTAACTCTCTGACAAGACACACATCTTATGGAAAGTCAGTGAAAAAAAAAAAAAAAAGCAATAAATGTTAAGCATCTTAGTTTATTTTTTTAAAGCATTAAGTTTTGCATGGCATTCTCACAAGCTAGGGAAATGCCATCAAGATAAATGTACAAATGGCTGAAAAAAAAATACAAATAAGTTACTAGTGCTTCACTGTCAAAGTAGAAAAAAGGATTGAGCAGAGTCACGCAGCTTCATTAGGGGTATGATATTGTTAAATATTTTCATTAATAACTTTGATGATAGAAGACAGCATATTTATGGATGACAGTAGTGTAGAAGAAGCAACCATGATAGAGTACAATCTTGAAATTGAAAATAATCTTGGAAAATTAGCTGACTAGTCTAAAAACAGGATAAAATTTAAAGGGAAGCAGAATTACGAAGTCACACAGGAGTACTCAACTGCAGAAGTACATGGCAAGTTGTGAATAGCAAAAACATAGTTCTGTAAAAAATGTAGGGGTTGTCACGGATCACAAACTGAGCATGTCAACCATGTCACACTTGAAAAAAGACAAACAACATACTGGAATTTATAAATAGAAACATTGTTTATAAAATATCTGAAATCATCATTGTTGCTGGAATACTGTATTTAATTAAGGACACCATGAAGACATATGGGTGCTTCTTGTAAGAGTCCAAAGAAGAGCAACATGGATGACCAAAAACCTAGCAAACTCAATTTACAAGAACAGCTAAAAGGAATTGGGATTATTTAACCTAAAGAAAAGACTGAAGGAAAACATGATGGAGCTATTCAGTTTCACATAAAGTGACAAGCCAATCTCTCTACCCAGTGTGGATAAATAAGACATAATTTGTTTAATTTTGCAAGAAGAGAGGATTCTAGCCAGACATTAGAAAAGACTTCTCTAATGGCAAGGGCAGAGGTGATATATTAAATCATTAGATGTACTTCAGCATCCTGACTTCATGCTAAACTCCTGAACACTTCTTTAAGCAATTTTTGCCCGACTTCGTAAAATAAACCTAAATTAGCCCAGCTTCAATGCAGAATGTTTCTAATGTCCATTAACTGTTACATTACTTCTTGTCTTCATTTGAATCATGCAGCCATGGAGAAGAATCTCTTATCCATATATCACATGTTCAGGGATGGAATAGTGGAAACAGTTAATAGTACAATTAATACAACTGTATGAGGACAAATAAAAGTTAGCAAACCAGTAAATCCTTTGATCTAACTAGGAGAGATGTCAGGGATTCAACCTTTCAATTGTAAAATGCAGAAAGGAACAAATTAATTGTTATATAATGATATTCAACTGCAAAAAATAGATGAATAATGTTTTTACCAGTAATAATAAGCAGATCCATCAGAGGAGGGAATTCTTTTCTCCCTTTCCTTAGAAGTTTTATCTGTTTCTTTACATCCTGTCATGTAAACACAAACTCATAATATGAAGGAACAGTAACTAAATTAGCTCACCCCTCAAGCTGGGAGTCTATTTTAAAAAAGTCCACCTTGTTTTGCCAACAACTCCTTTGCTCAACTAGCAGGCATGTTTCAATGAGTAACAAGCCTCCTCTTCTGTTACTCTCCCCACAGATACAAATCATTAATAGTATCATCACTCTTAAGCAACCTGTATCTGTTGAAAGGAAGGCTATTCTCCACCACATAGGCTTTGAGGTCCACAGGTGTCTCCGTAAAATTAAACATCCTTCCTCCACAAAGCTTTTCTGCTGCATCAGTTCAATTTGTGTGGGTAAGACGTCCCCTCTCACAGAAAAGTATAATGCAGACTTTATTTGTTTTCATCATTTCATGGACTAAGCTGTACAAAAATAGGCTCTTTTTGTATTTTTCCACTTATCAAACCATCCTCTTTCTCCACGAAGTATATAGCTATCGTTAGTCCAAGGGGTTTTCAAGACATTTCAAAGCTCTGAACATACTACCACTTGCAGAAAACAAGACAAGATTTCAAAGCCATTTCTTATTTAAGATGGCTCTCTAGTCTAAGAAGAGTTCAGTCTGGCAACCAGTAAACACTTCTGGTTTCTGCCCTAAGGCTACTAGTTAGTATCAGTTCTAAAGCTCAGACTAACTCCTAAATATTAGATAACAAAATTTTCTTACGTGATACTACTCCCCAAAGGTCTAAATTCACAAGTAGAATTTGACCATTTATATTAAGTGTAATCGCAAATACATTTAAAAAGCTTTTTAAACTCCAGTATTATAAACTAGTGAAATAGCACATCCTTGATTATCCACAGCTACTGTTTTTTTCACAATAAATTAGATTTCCTCTTTTACTCAGTAGCTGATTTTCATTTTATTGGAGGCTTATGAGTGGGCTGGGCTACAGAGATTTTCATTTTATTGGAGGCTTATGAGTGGGCTGGGCTACAGATGAATTACTGCCTTTTGATACCTTGGCATACCTTTTAGTGCATTTTTCAGATCCATGGACATCTGTCCATGGTTAGAGATCAGTTGGGGTCAAGGGAAAAAAAAAAATTATAGATTTGGTTTTTATTTGTACTTAAAATGCATTTTGGACTACCATAGCTTTTAAGCACACAAGACACTGAAACTCAGTGCTAAGATCAAACAAGAAAGATGCAAAACCAGGAATTAAGCATCCATTACAGTCACAATGCCTACCTAAGGGCAGGGCTAGGGGTGCGTGACACAGTGTGTCTTATGGAGCCTCCACTTTTTCTCATTTGTCCTACACACAGTTAACTTGGCTCCATCTTCTCTCTTTTTTTAGCGCATATGCTCACATTTTGCCTGTTGCACAGATACAAGCAACGCAGGGGCCCAGGAGCAGCCCTTTTACTTGTTGAGATTGCATGAGTGAAGCCAGAGCAGCATATTTATATTACCACATCACTCAGTAGTCCTCTTTTTTTTCCAATCAGCAACCCAGGCCGTGTTCCCTGGTTGCCACCATCACCATCTGAGACTAGTTTTATTCTGCAACACCTTCTCGTGTTCAACACAGATATGCTGGAGTTCTGTCTCTTATGCTCTTTTTTTGTCCTGTTCTTCAGCATCATTTTTCTCCCTGTTTCCTAATAGTTCCCATACTCCATGCTTGTTTTGCTCCACCCCATGCAGATACATCCAACAGCCATTATGTTGTCCATATCTGAAGCAGGTAAGAAATGTCAGGAACAAGATCCTTCAAGTCTTCACCTGATGTTCCCAATTCAGATCTTGTGGGTTTCCTGTGACAGATAATGATGAATCTGAAAAATCTATCCTCTTTGACAGCATTATCACAATCACTTTGGCTACAGTCATGCAGATTTTACTGCTTTTGTCTGAAAACTTCAGATGCTGCTCCTGGTGCCCTCCCTTTTCTACTACCTGTTCTTTAAGTGTTTGCTGCAAACCAACTCATTAAGCATAATGTATGCTTAAGACCTCCTTGTACCATAGGGACTAGTTCAAGGACTAAGGACTGCATTATCACGTATGATTACATACTTCCATTTTGAAGATTTCTTCTAATTACTAGACTGACAAGTATTTGTGTGTGTTTAACTTTTTAAAGCTTCTACAGTTATTTCAAAAGAACAAACTAAAATTAGTGACACAGTTTTATACTAATAAATAAAAGGCTAGTGCAAATAGTAGGAATCTCAGGCTAACCAGAGAAAATGAGCATTATACACTATTAAAAGTGTATGAAAAAAATTTACCACTTGCTTCTTTCCTAGAGAAGCAGATATAAATAACAATATTTAAAGGAAAAGCAATATATACAGTATTTCTTGTTTAAAGTACATGATAGGGCAAGAATAAATATATATACATACAAAGGTCAAATATTCTTTATAAAATTTCTAATAAGCTAAAGCACACTGATAACTGAAATTTCCTTTGGAACTCAGAAAAATCTGTCTAAGCACCTCAAGATATATTGACCATACTAGTAATATATGTTAAAAAACCTGGAAATACAAGATAAACTTGGACATTCTAAATACATAAACAGTAAACTGAAATACCTTTTTTTATTTCAGTTTTATTTTTATTTATTTACCAAAGTATTTGAGCTCTTAAGTTTTGCATCAAGTGTTTTGTAACAATGGAAACAACAGCCCTTAATTGGTTTCTCTCCTACATACTTTCTTATCCACACTAACATTGAGGGCACTCAAGAAATGTCAGACACTTCCATCTCATAAAAGATGTGCAGGTAGAATTAAGATCTGGGTTTTGCCTATCGTTCAGTGAAAGCAGACCCTTTTTTTCTAGAAAGTATAGCTTGATCTGTCATCTACAACTTCCCATGACGTGTTCAATCACCTCTGCTTGGTGACAGGAAGTAGCTCCCAAGGTAACTAATTTAAGACTTTTATCAGAACTATTGCTTTGAATTAAATAGGCAGACAGTGTACATGGTTAGCAGTGTAGCATAGTCCAACTTTCTTAAGAGGCAATTTGAGTTTTCCTTACTATGGGATCTCCGTGGCTAGCACCAGATGTAACATCTTAGCATCTTCAATGCATGGATCTCTTTGATGCTCACATCAGAGCAGACTTCCACCCGGGTATTCACACTTGGGGAAGGAATTTTTTGATGTTAGTACATGTGAGTTCTGGCACTAAATACTACTGGCTCATTATTTTAAACTTTGTATTGATATTTAAAACACTAAATTCTTCTTGTGTACAGATTAGGCTTCTCTTACAGTGTTTATCATCATGCACAGGTAATGACTAGAACCAAATTTGAAAAGCTGTAATATGCCTCTATATATGTATCTCTTTCATTTGTGCTTTTTAAAATTAGAACAATTGCCTGGTTTGGTTGGTTTCAGCTAATATTGTTGGTTGGGTTTGTGGTTTTTTGGTTGGTTGGTTGGTTTTTTTTGTTTGTTTGTTTTTTGTTTTGTTTTTTTTTTTGTTTGTTTGTTTTTTTGTTGTTTGTTTGGTTGTTTTTTTTATTATTTGCATTAGCAAGAGAACTAAGAATCAAATGAAAGAGGAGAAAGGAGTTGTATAGCTACCTACATTCTCAGAGACTGCAGTCAAATAGTATTCAAGATCTTCACTAAGACTACATCTCGTTCTCCAGCTAAATTCTAGTCTAATTTTCCTAGAGTGATGCATATAACATAGACTATGTGAAAAAAAAAAAAAATACAACAGATTGATCAATGCTAAAAATCTGGGGCCTTTTCAAGGGTTTCTGAAAATACCAGGGATTTAGAAAACTGCATTTTAGCGGAGCACAGGACTAGATGAGATGACAAATAAGAACCCTATGCACTTCCAGTTTTTCACCCTCAGTGAGCTGCATATTCCCATTAGTCCTGAAAAATCTATTTATTAAATTCTTAGTGTTTAACTTGTCAGTTGTACCACACACTGATCAAACCAAAAGCATGTTAATTTGGTTTTAAACATCACTTTTAAACAACACAGCTTAAATATGGTACAGTAGGGGCATATATACAGAAAATGAGCTAGATGGAAATGCAAGACAAGGAGAATTTACATCAGTTTCCCCTCTGAGGAGGGATATTTTTTTTTTTTTAAAGTATTTGTTCTATCTTCAAAGTCAGAAAAAAAAACTATATTACATTATGCTTTTCTGTAATATTATTACATTTCCTAATAGCTTTAAAAAAAATTGCAAAACTAAGTATGTTTAAATACTAACAAGTATTTCTGTATGCAGCAATGGCTTGATTTCCAATGGATTATGTTAAGTCTGACTGACTCTGCATTCAAATGATTCTATTACAAATTATACTTAACAAGTAGAAAATGTAGAGAAACTCAAAATATAAAAGAATTCACACTGATCATGGGAAAGACAGTGATGTATGTTCAGGAAATATGAAAGTTTTAACTGTGAAAAATTACATCAGCAGAACTTTAGTATCAGAGAACCACTGGTTTTTATCTCCCACATGGACTTTTGGTGCCTATGATACACAAGCTTCAGCTGAATCTGTTTGCATGTAAGAGAGGTATCTTTCACCCATGCAGTTCCTGTTGACTAATAAGACACAGTGCATTTTTTACTTCAAAATAAGGGCATTAACAGGTTGTTTTAGAAACACATTAAACTAGATAGACTTGCAGCATTCAAAGGTCACCTGTCTAGAAAATGTGGTTGCAGAAAACAAACTCAGAAGTTACTGGAGAGAGGATAGATTTCTAGATAAATACACACAGAGATGGTTATATTGCATTTTTTCAGAAGGCTTCAAGATCTGGGAAGGGAAGGATCATGGAAACCTTCACTGCTCATCCTTTGAATTAACATTCCTAGAGTACAGACAATATACATACATAGGCAATGTGGCAACCTATAATTTCCTATCAGTGATTTTAATATGAATGTCATAGAAATGTTTCCATTTCATTCCAATAAACTATTCTGGGAAGAGTTAATAGAAGAGTCAGCAAATTAAACCACTGCAGTGTTTGTGTTGCCTCAGTGTCTGCACATCCCAGGGACTATATTTATATGACGATCTCAGAAAGTTACTTCTGCTTGTTTTTTAGTTTATATAAAGTCCAAATTTCTTCACTAATGGGCCCAACAAAACATCAAATCCTTCCCAGATCCTTCAAACCTAACCTTGACAGATTTGTATTATTGGACATCGTATCAACAGCTTCCCGACACCGAGACATTAAGACAGAAACTTGCAATCTGTTAATACTATCCTGAGGTTTATTAACTTTTTGACTTCACAGCTGCACTCAGAAACAGGATAAACACACCTTTAAGCACGTTTTAAATAGGTAGAACTGTATTTTCCAAATCTGTCTACCTAAAATGAACCAGCACAAAAAGGCACTCTTTTCCAAAATTTCAGCCTTGATTAACAAATAAAACAGTAATTTATCAGTCAGGCTGATAGGAACTAAACTGAGCTAAATTCGAAATGCACCATTGGAGCTTTCTAAAATTATTACTGAATCCTCCCGTTTTATTTACCATTTTCAATATTATAAATACATTCTTAAACACATGTGAGTATAAAAATGATGAAAGGCAATTTTCTTCTTTCTTTTAATCCACCAGATGTTATTACCATGAAAAGAAACACCAAGAACCAAGAGAAGTGCCTTGGAAACCAACAGGGAAATAGAACTTACTACCTTTATAACATATTCCATTGTGAACAAGAGATTTATTTTTGCAGATTGACAGACTACTTCCCATAATTCTTTTAACATGTGTTTTGTATGTTGTCAACAGATTGACATTCTTTACAGTAGTATAACTGCCAGTAGTACTTAATGCTCCGTACTTAAAAAACACACTTTACAACTGACGTGTAATGCTGCCAAAAATTATGTTAACACAAATATTTCACCAAGAAAATTGATGTTCTATTGCTTAATTCTACAATTTTAAGGAATGTTTGTTTGTATATCTAGAACTACTAAAGATCTGCTCCACAGTAGTTGTGGTCACTTGATATCCTTCATGTTCATGCAATTTTTTTAAAAGTCTGGTTAAAACAGACTTGCACTGGGGTCACATTGTACCCTAGGAGTACAAATTGCATGACAAATGGGAACATAATTCCAAGTAGACATATTTTTTGGGACAGTGGAGCATGGATTTTGTACACTAACACAAGCTGCCATTAATTTACTTTATATAATAAATGTATAAAACATTCCAGCGAACGTGCAATATGTAAATACTGTAAATAATAAGCGTAATAAAGTGTTTGGTATTAAGTTTTTCTCAGTTTCCTTTCTGTTCACTGAATACATATAAACAAGCTATTGTCTGGTAGCTACTATCATTTATCCACACTTAAACCTCTTTCCAGTAACATTCACTGGAAAGAAAGGTATGTCCACCTCCGAGTAGTCCAGTAATTTGGACCCTCTCTATGGATTTGTGAGGATGGACAGATCTGTGTGTTCCAATCCCACAAAATGCCCATGACCACAGGGCTGCCCCAATTCTCCACAGCATTATAAATCAATCTTTTTTATGACAAACAGTTGTTTTGGGTTTTTTGTTTGCTTGGGTTTTGTTTGTTTGTCAAAACAAAATCTGCAATCTATTTATGATAGCGCAAAGCAATATAATCAGTAAATGTCCAATAAATCATTTTAGTATTGTTAAATTTTTAAGGAGTCAGTGAACACTTACTCAAGAAGCTCTGATACACATTTCTCTTTCTTCCTTAAATCAGATACTAAATCTAGTTGTCATAATAAAATGGCTCAAACAGGAAGAAAATTTTCTATGCGGTATCTGTAGATGAACCTCAGGTACTTTCGTCTTAATACTGGCATTTAGCTTCCATTTTATCCTCAATTCAAACCACAAAATGTAAAACCAAAATGAAACACAATCCTCCCCACCCTGAGAAATAGCTAGGAGCTGGGATTCTTGAAATTCACACTTAAGAGCCTTCAGGATCTAGCTCTTTAGAAAAAAAAATGGCATAAGTACAAAATCCCATCCTAGAACATGGCTGTATTTAGTAAGGGAGAATTACATATTTTACATTTGCTTTCAGTGATCACCAAGTGCTAAAGTTTCATTTCTCAATGGAAGTAATACATGCATACCAAAAAAATGGTAGTTGAAGGAATCTACTACTATAGGATTCACTTAGCTGCTCCTTTGCAGTAAATGTGGGTGGAACTCTGTGCTTCTCTATGGTTCCACTGACTGAAATCAGATCACAGCATATTACTTGACATGGGAGCTTAAACTAGTATAAATCTTTCTTTTTGTAGTAGGACACCTGAAATCTGGTTAAATAAAAACTTTCTAGAAAATTTCCCTGTAAAACAGTAATTTATTTAATGACTTAATAATTGAATATAAATAAATTAATCCCATGGAAGTTTTCTCTAGATTTAGCAGAAGTCAGCATGCTTTGACAGAAGATACAACTATACTATAGCAGATTTTTTTAATGTAGGTCTTAGGTATAAGCTTACTACCATAAACTAAAACAAGCTGTGGTGGGGGAGAGGGAGAAGGAGTCAGTTCTGTATTTTTTCATTGAAGAGTACATTTTTCATGAGTGGTATTTTAAACCTGTAAGAGCTTAGTCATATGTATGAAACATGATTTGTGTATTAATCCTATATTTACTGTTTTTCTTGGAACCCAAATAATGGTACTGTGCAACTGTCCTCCCTGAAGGCAATTCCTATTCTGTATTCTACAAATTCTTTTAAAATACAATGCTGCTCTCCTTCCCCTCCTCCAAAAGAAACCCACTACGGATAAAATAAATCAATCAATCAGCTTTTTCCTTCTGGTAGAGACAGTGAATGATTTAGCCAATAGATTACTTGCTGAAAATATACCTCAAGGCTGAAACTTTTAAAATCTCAACGCAATTTAACACAAACAGTTTTGATTTAGTATCACTATACAGGAAGACTCCTAAGTCTAGTAAAGGTAAACAACCATACCCTTTTATCTCCTTTCTGTTACCCAAGCATCTCAAAGATAAAGATTTAAGACTTGTAAATCCTAACTTTCATATGTAGGAAGCTGTAGGTTCAATTCCTATTCGGCCATGAATGGGAAAGCACAAACCATCATGTTCTCAATCTTCAGAGTTACTTTATTTTCACTGAAATATTTTCAATGTTCATTCTGGCAGATTATGCCTAAATACTTCCACTTCTGAGGTCTGTGCATAAAACCACATTTAAGATGGTTTGTCCCTAACTGCTCATCATTTTCCCTCATTTATTTTGTCAAAGCATTCATGAAAGAAATGGAGAAAAAAAATTTATTGAGTCAGCGCTTGATCTGACCTGAAATATTGTATCTATTACTCTTTGTCCCCGATGTGAAACACCTATTAACTGTTCCATCTACCACTTGCCTTTTTGTAAGCAGGTTCTTAAGTTTTCTGTCTGATTGAAGTTTTAGCACAACATGGAAACTTCACTAACACAAACACATCTGTTCTACAGCAAGAGTCCCAGGAAACTTAATCCCCTTTGTGCAGGCTGCAGCACACACAGAGTGGCACCAGGATTCTTCCCCCCCTAGGATTCTCTATCGAAATGCATCCCTCTCCCAGAAGGCAGAGTGGGTGACAAATACAGAGGCTACTCTAGTAGTCTGGAAGGCAGACAGAGGCAAAACCAAGGATAAATAGTAAGAAAGGAAGTTTTACAGATCCAGTTTTAGAGATAAAGTGATGATGCCAACGTTGATATTATTCAAAATAGGAAAATTATCATGGTACCAGTTATATTACTGATCTCAGTACATTTATGTTTCTATGGCAGAAATGAAAGGTGATGTTCAGACAGACAGGCATGTATTTTTAAAAAGCATTCAATTTTTGTCCAAGAGCAGAATCTTCTACTTACTGGCCTTCTGTTAACTTTATATTACATTACAGATGGACTGTCTTCAGGTTGAACTGTACTTTCAGAGAACACTTTTGACAGGCTATCCATTCTCCTGAGTAAAACTGCAAATATTGTCCAACAGCTGATAGGAACGTACCAGAACAAAAATTACTTCTTCTTTGAATTACTGAGCATTTAAACTAATAAAAAAACCCAGAGGTTTTGCTTGCCTAAGCTTTGAAATAGCGCTAAGAGCAATGTCTGCCGGAGGGCGGTTCTTTTCATCTAGCAGGCTCAATATGAAACAGCTTCAGGCCAAAGTCTGTCTAACGATACTAGGATGACACACCTAAGTTATCATACAAGAACTATTATCTCGCAGACTCCCATTGAAAGGTGATTTAAATTAACTAAGGGCACAATGAGGAGACCTCAGTTTAGCTAGTACAGCACATGAAGAAGTAAGACTTTACTTTTGCAGTGCTTGTGAGAAAGCACTGGAAGAGTTTACAGATAAATTTATTTTGAGTAATATACTTAATTATTACATTGATGTGTGATAAAATGGTTGATCATCTAATCCAATTAAACCTTTTCTATATTTTCTAGCTAGATGACAGAAAAGCTAAAATATAAAATTAACGTGAAAAGGTTTTGAACCAACTGAGGCATAATTTTACAATTTAAATACATCAATCAAGTAAACCTTACATAATTCAGGAACAACTATTTATTTTCCTTTAGAAATACGATGGTGAAGTACTAATGAGACTTCTCCAAAAATGCTTTACAGCATCTAACACATTGCTCGTAAACAGTTTCAAAGTCCTTTTCGTTTCCCTAGAAAAGAACAGAGGAAGATGAATGTAAGAATAGCATTTGATATTCTCTACTTCTTGGGTAATGAATAGCAATTCCTTATTCACCTTTTCCCATGATACCAAGATTTTATAGAACCCTACTGTATCTTCATCCACTTCTCTTTCCTAAACTGATGACTCAATCTAATTGGTTGCTTTTCGCTGGTATTATTCAACAAATTTGATCATCTGTGTCCATGTCTTTGTCTCTATCTTCCTTGATTACATCCTTTTTGCAAGGAGGCTGACCAATCAGGGCTTCACCTCATATTGAAAATATAGGTGCATTCCATTATTTAACTAATTGTTATAAGCATAAAGACATGTTTTTGTTTCCTATCCCAATAATTTATATTGTTTTGTTAAGTCATTTAAAAAAAAATATGTTCACACTTGGCTTTGTGTAACATCAGATTATATATCATATGTCAACTCTGGGATCTGGGAAGATTATATACTATACATACATAATTTTTAATCAAGCCACCCAAAGAACTTCTTACACATACATAGTATGGATCTTCAATAATAAGTTGTTTCTGTGGATCATAAGTTCCAAGTAGTTCAATTTTGGCCTTGCAGTCTTTAACTTGGTTGCCTTTCCTCTTCAGATCTCTGTAAAAGATAAAATAAAATTTTCTCATTTTTCTTCAGAACTTATTTGGCATCAGCATGTGATGCTCATGACCATTTCTAGAGAACACTGGAAAATAATATGCATCTGGACTCAGTCGATTCAGTAGACTCCCTATGCTGCTGCTTGTTTTTGACTGTTTCTTGTTGTGTGGGTTGTTTTTTTTTTTTAATTGAGTATGGAGGGGACATACATAAACTTAATTCAGAGCGTAAACAAGCAGCCGGGCACTTGACCTAATGCTTAAAAGAATTTTGTAACAGTAAGTTCATCAACTCCTTCCTCAAATCAATTATTTAGTGCTTTCAATATCCACCTTTAGCTTGTAATGAACAAAAATAACAGAAATTATCTAGGTATTTTTCCAGAAGTCTGAGTAAGCTGCTCCCATCTGTTCAAAACCAGTGTTTTAAATTGGTATGCTTCAAGTTCTCTCAATACTACCTCTAGCTCGTGAAGTCCTACCACATTCAGTTAACAGAAAATGGTAAATCGGTGAGCAAGACCTGTCTTCTCTTTGACATACTAGAACATTTCATCAGTTGTCACATTCTTTCTTCTATATTACCTCCCATTGATAAAACATACTAGTTTTGAGATGGTATTTTCCCCGTCTACCTACAAATGTCTGTCCGTTATCCCAAATGCAGTTAAAATGTACCTCTCATCATCTTCAGATTAAAAGCAGCTCGTTACTATGATATTCACAATGCTGAACAGCCAGAACATATTACATTCTTTTAATATTATTATACATCTCAAATCAACATTTTACTTATGCAGCATTAAAAAAGACAAAAACCCCTGTAAGTACTTAGTCATAAGCATAGTAAGCTTTAAGAAATTAAATTCCAATTATTAATTAATTCTGATTAAGAAATTAATTGCAGATAGTTTAGAAATAGCAGTGAGAGCACAATCCTGCTTTTCCTTGAAGAAAAATCAGGACTCCTCTATCAACTGAGAAGTTATTGATTGCATTTAAAAATTTTCAATAAATTGTCTAGCCTTTTATTATTTAAAAAATTTCTAACCATTTCCTTCAAAGCTTTTGGCATAGCACTTAATGAACAGGAGAGGGCCGGGTGGCTCTGGTACAAAGGAAAAGGGATGTCCCAAATCTTCCTTTTCTGATATACCAGGCACTCCAACAACACCCGGAATCAGCCTGCCCTCCTAGTGCTTTGAATAGGCATTTCCAAGGAACACGGTTGAACGGGGTTTAAAGTAAAACTTAAATGTAGCAGTAGCAATAACCCTATTATAGTTGTGATGTTTCTTATGCTCTACAGTTCATATCATATACATCGTTAATACAGAAGGAAGTTTCCATTTACGAATTCAAGTGAAAATAAAAGTAAGCCTTGCCATGTCTTTGCCTGACATGATGTAATCAAGCCAAGTGCAATCTGTGTAAAAGAGGTCATTCAACACATTCTAGAAAATTCAACAGAATGATACTTATTTCAGTTAGGTGGTGCTGCTTCTAAAAGTTTTTTCATGCTACTACTAGGGGTTTATTTTAGTTCTGTTTTGCTGTTGGTTGAGGTGTTTTGGGTGGGTTTTGTTTAGCTTTTTTGAACTAATTTTACAATAGTCCTTACAAGCACTTGTAGTTTATTAAAGCTCAGCCTTTTAACCCAAATCATCAATATGTATGTAATTAAGTAGAAATTTTGCTAATGATATCCAAATTTTCACACTAGACAGCTACTTCACCAAATCTTTCTAAAGCATAAATTGCCTCAAATATCCACTTAATTAGAACATGGCTAAACAGTAGCAAACAAGATTCTCCCCAGTTCACAACCTTACTTATTTCAGAGCTCACTATTTCTATTAAAAAAATAAAAAAACCCATACCACATTTAATGCCTTCCAAGTTTCCGCAGTGTCTTTTAGATCCCATACAATTAGAAAAACAGATCACACTGATCAAAACAGTATGTCCTCATTCTTAACTATACAGGCATCAGCTGCACATCTATAGCACAAAGTATACAAAATTTCCATGTCCATAATCAGAGCAGTACGTATCAAAAAAATAAACTATTGTCTCCTAGCTCGTTAAACTTATTAGAAGTGAAGAATCCATCATTCACACACACATACAAAAAAAAAAAAAAAACAACAAAACAAAACCAAAAATACTCCAAGACAAGCTAAGCAGTAAAACGTGACATTTGTCCTCAAAGTGGCTTATAAGACATCAACACAAGTAATCTACATGAATTTGTTCAATTTCTTCATACATTACCTTAGATTGCTCTCATCCATACAAAGTATATAGTCAAAGGTCTGGAAATCATCTTTAGTAACCTAGAATTAAAAATATGTGATTTAGCCTACAAACTGTGTTTGATTTATAAAAAGGGGGAAAAAAGTATTTTCAAATTTTGTAGTTCTGATTTATTAAAAGAGACACAGGTGGGAAGAACAAAACTGTGTACCTTCATCAACTTTTACAATAAGTAAAGGCATTTTAAATATAGTCCGACATGATTATTTATCCATTTCTGCAAGTTTTCCACAAAAAAAGCAAGTTAGATATTTTACCAATACTTTCTTTAAAAACATCTCATGCATCAACTTAGAACAAGTGACATTTCTACAGCTTTCCAATTGCTAAAATTAAAGGAGGTTTCCAGGCATGGAAACCATTCAATAAGAATTAGACAAATTACTTTCTTGATAGGAAAACAAAAATGTTGGTAACCTGGAACCAGTTGCAGTACTTCTAGAGAATTGTCACTACCAGAAGACGACACCAGGTGAAATTCAAAGCTGAAGTATGATGGTATGAGCTACAGTCTCATAAAACAAATGTATTCACAGTATTTTAGGCCATGTAAGTTCACAAAATTTACAGTATGATGTGAAAAAATCTGGGATCTACTGTATATCTTCCTACCATCATACCATCTGTTCCTTTTCTTTGCTGTAGCTTACTGACTCCTAAACATGAATATTAACTAAATTCAGAGATCCAAGTTCAGAGTCAGGTAGGCAAACATTGCAGATAAACCACTAACTTAAGTACTGATGTTATCTGTATTGGAGTAAGGATAGTGTGGATTTTTACCAGTGTAATTATATTTTTAGTGTACATTTTAGCCTTACGTTAGGGTAAAATCTTCTCAGACCATGCCCACAATGCACAGTATGCTAATATAAGATATCTGAATCAAGTGTCCATAATGAGGATGAATAAATGCAATAAAATCTATAATAAGTTCACATCAAGACTGCATTTTACACATAGTCCTACATGTAGTATCACAACCAAGAAACTTGGAAAGTTTGTTCAGAACATGTTTTTCTGGCAGGTGTCTCTGGGAAGGATGGGCTAGAGAAGTAAGTAAGCACATGAACAGACAAAAAGGCAAAACACATTATCCTCCAAGTCAGAGTTTTAACTTGTAAAAATTATTTACGTGTTGAAAAAAAATAGATGGAAAAAATAATTATTTTTCGTGCAAAATGCAAATAGATACTGATTAAGCTCTCATGACAGGGAGTAAGACCTACAGAAAAGATCACCAGACTAAAGCTGTAAATTCCACACAAGGAGAATTAAAGGGGTAAGGTGGGGGAAGCATTTGGAAAGAAGGGGTTAATGGTGAAAACTAATGCAGACTTGTTTATTTTCACTGTAAAAATATTTGCTGTATTCATGCAGTGCCTTTGACCTATGAAAATATTTTTGCAGTGGAAATAGCTCTGTTTTCCTGGCAACTTTAAGCAGTACCTCTATAAGCTGCTTCTGATTGCTCTACACAGCTAAACACTGTCCCCTATGAAAATACGTGGGGCATAGATTTCTTTGTATTACAGACATACATAAGAATAAAAAGCAGCGGAAAGGAAAAACACACTTGCCACGCTTCCCACACTCTATGTACACTTAACAATTTGACAGTTACTACCCTATGAGCCAGCACTAACAAAGTTGCAAATGCAGCCCTAAAAACAGGATCACTGGTTGGGTCATGCTCTTAAGCCCTACAGTAATATCAGATACAAAATGTTTAATTGAGCAAATTCCAGTGATCTGAAGATCCTCCTCAAAACTGTGAAAACTAGTATTTTGGGGGAAGAAATTGAAGACATAAAAATTTATGTACATTTTGAGAAGAGTAGCAGAAAGCTCAAGTAGTCAACTTTGGGTGGAACTACTCAGACTTTACATTTTTAAAAAGCACATAACCATTATTAAAGACCACCAATGGAGAAACACATCATCATTCCAATTTATTTGTCAAAAAATTCCCTTTGTTTACAGAAAGGAAATCGCCTTTTCTCTGTCTAAAAATCAAAAAGAGGCAGTAGTCCTCAAAATTCTCCAGTTGTGAAACAGTGCTTAAATACAACCTTCCTCTAATCTCAATTTCATATTTAAGGCAAATGCACGGTGTGAGTCATAGAGAAATCAATTTTGGCCTCAGCATGAATAAAAGCGACTTTGTGCATGAAGACTAAGAGCTCAGAGAATTTCAAAGGGTACATAAATGAACAGCAACCTACCATCAATTAAAATGTTACCAAACTCTTTATTTTTACATATAAACATACACATTTATTTTTATACTTCACTTTTCACTTAAAATTCACTTAAACAATCACTGTATATGATGGTAGGACGTAACCAATTTATTATTTTTACATAAATCATTATTGTAGCATTTATGTCAGTTTTGAGTAAAAAAGATACAATCCATTATTATCATAATTATGCACAAAATAACATGAAAGAAAGCGCCTTTCACTGGGTGGGTAAGAGTCTTCCACAGGAGTGAAGAGGATAATTGCATGAGGTAGTCATATTATGACAGTATTTTGAAGGCAAGACAAAATAAATCCTTCCTCTCTTTTTCTACAGCTTCTGGATTAAATCTTTCTTAATCTGTTGTGAAAGAAGTCACACACAAAATTCTATCCTTGAGTTTGTCTTTAATAACGAAGCAAATACACTTTGTACTAACCTGGCCACTCGGAAAGTCCTATTCTACACTGTTGAGTCCCTCTCCTTCCAAAGTACTACAAGACTATATCAGGTCCCCAGTTTAGAGAATCAGGAGAGGCCATTTAACAGAAGTTTGGAAAAAAAAAAAAAAAAGTATTGGAGTTACATAGTTAACATCAGTGCAAAATGAAATTACCTGTAGTTTGAAAAGAAACTGCTTACATGGGGATATTTTAGACAAATTTTCATCCTGTTAGTCTTTCATTTTATTATCTCACTCTTCTCTCCCTCTATATATGTAACATTTCAGGCTCTTCTGCTTTAAAAATTTCTTCATTTGCCAGAATGTATAAACAAATGTCTTAATTGAAGTTTTCTCATTCCCTCTCTGCCAAAGGAGGATATATAGATTTGTTCCACGGAAGAGGATCAACTGGTTTTGGATGCTTTGCTTTAGTTTAACTCCTCAAAAAACACTTTAATAATATGCAAGAACAGTCTCAAGTTTCCAGGGCTTAACCTTTTAAGAATACAAACGTGTTATACTACTGTGACTGAAACACTGATTAGTTTCAGTACCATTTAGCTTGTATAATAAATAATGCTGTTTGTAAGCACTGATAAATAGTAAATCCAGAACATTTAACAGGAAAAGATCACACAGACTTTTTGTAGTAATTAGAGTAAAACATTGAAAATCTGAAGTGATGTTGTGCTCAATCCTGTTTGTCATCTTATATAATGGAGGTTAGCATCAGCAGAGGTCAACAGAGGGCAACTGACTAATTGAGGGAATTTATTTTAAAAAGTTAGAAAACTAAACATGTAGTCTTTGAAAGTAAAGAAAGTAAATATGACCTCAGTAAGGTCTAGTAAAATTCTGAAGGGAACAGAAGTGGAAGATAATAACAAGACTACTTGATCTTTCTGTCAGTACAAGAACTAGTGACATAAACTCAAGCTAAGTAAGGTCAAGCCCTAAAGGAATATCTTCTATCCAGAGATCAGTTAACTGAAGTAAATTATGTGCATTTATTTGAGTGTCTGAATGATTTAAATAGATGCAGACACATTTATTTCCGATCTCTCATGCTGCTAGAATGCAGCATGGAAACACACATTCTTTTGTTAATGAAAATTGAGATGAGTTTTGGTACAACTTAGAAGATTTCACAAAGTGACAAACCTGTCTTTGACTTAAGAATGCTTCAAGGCTACATTTTCCTCTGAAGTTACCATCAGCCGTGCTACTAATCTTGGGTTTGAGTGCCCTCATTCTAATTTAGCACTCTAAATTTTTTAAAAGATCTACATGCAAGAGCAGAAGCTTTTTGTGATGGGTGAACAAGTATTCTACTTCTTTTTGGACCTGCTAAATAAAAGTACAATTCCTTGCTGAAAGAAGCATCACAGATTACTAGAGTAAGTCAATTTTTAAAAATTATTTAAAAAACGTTCCAGAAAAATGCCCCAAATACTAAACATTTGAAGGCAGAATTTTTCTATAATGAAGAAACTGCTCCAGCGCTTCCTACTTATACTTTCAAAGAAGCTTAGTAACAGGAAGCTCACTAACCTCAACTAGAATAGTTAGGCCACTCAGGAGTCCTTTGAGAAACTGAACATAGTATTTATTACTTGTTGCTTAACCATGCATCGGTCAAATGACTTCTGTGATTGTAATGGTTAGGGCTAAACAAAGCATGGGTATGAATAAGAAAAAAAAAATATACTCTCTTCTACCTGTCGTGCTTTATGTGCTGTCTCAATGCCATGATTTCTTAGACAGCTTAAAGCCCTTGCATCTGGGGAGCGCCCCACGTTCCAGTCTGAAACAGCAGCACTGTCTGTCATCCACTGTAACAACAAAACAAATACATACACATATTTAAGGAAAATTAAAGTACAGTACCTGCCTGGCAATATGATTCATGGTAATGCCATGCTTCTTCATGCAACTCTGTCCCCGATAGTCAGGAGGGCTTCCTATTTCATAGGCAGATGTCGCTGCACTGTCTATCCTCCACTATAGAAAAACAAATTTATATTTTTATTTTTCCTTTCTCAGTGATTATATTTATACTAACTGGCTACAAGACAGTTCTTTCTTAGGCAATAACAGAAATTAATAGCTTACCTTATTTTCAACGTTTTCATCAGTTACAAGTTTTCTAAAAACTGCTTCAGCTATTGGAGACCGACAAATGTTTCCTATAGAAACAAGAGATTAAAGTGACATTTCAGATGACTAAAAACAAAAAATCAGTGATTGTGTGGATTTGTCAGTGTAGATCAGATTAAAGATTTTTATTTACATAGAAAGAAGACTGCTTATGTTATTATAACCCAAAGGATTCTGCAAGTGTGGAAACCCAGAGTCCTGCATCTGGGTTAAGGCAATCTCCAGTATGAATACAGACTGTGAGATGAACAGACTGAGAGGAGCCCTGGGGAGACAGATTTGGGGGTACCAGTAGATGAAAAATCAGGTATGAGCCAGCAGCGTGCACTTACAGCCAAAAAGCCAAATCATACCCTGGGCTTCATCAAAAGAAGCATGACCAGCAGGTCGAGGGAAGTGATTCTGCCCCTCTACTCTGCTCTGGTGAGACTCTATTAGGAGTACTATGTCCAGCTCTGGGGTCCTCAGCGCAGGAAAGACATGGACCTGTTGAAGCAGGTCTGGAGGAGGGCCACAAAAATGGTCACAGGGCTGGAACACCTCTGAATGAGAACTGGGGCTGTACAACCCGGAGTAGAGGAGGACTAGAGAGATCTTACTCTGGCCTTTCTAGATATAAGGGGGCTGTAGTGACAGGACAAGGGGCAACAGTTTCAAGTGAAAGAGAGGAGAATTATATTGGACCTAAGGAAAAAATTTGTTTACGATGTGGGTGGTGAGACACTGGAACAAGTTACCCAGAGAAGTTGTGGCTGCCCCATCATTGGAAGTGTTCAAGGCCAGGTTGGACGGGGCTTTGAGCAACCTGACCTAGTGGAAGGTGTCCCTGTCCATGGCAGGGGGGTTGGACTAGATGATCTTTGTAGGTCTCTTCCCACCCAAACCATTCTATGATTCTATACTATCCATCAGTCTCTTGAAATGCATGTTTCTATATGAAAGGATATAACATTAAAATAAAAAGGAGGAATAGTGTGTAAGCACATTGCTCTTTTCTTCTCCTCCACAAATAATCTGTGATCACAGAGGACCCAGCAAAATTACAGAATTTAAATGGCAGCAAATCGTCTTTATCTTCAAATCTTCCTACACACTGGCACATTTCAACTAATGCTTCAGTGTAGAATCATGAATACTTGCCTGAAGTATTCACATTACTACCTTCCCGTTAAGAAAAACTTTCGGACAATTCCAAAACACACCTACCACCACTGTGGAACCAACACAGCAAAATGGCTGAACAACCTGTAGCAGAAACAGTCCTGACCACTGAAGTGAAGTAACCCAGGTCAAACTGAACCCTCGTCAAGAGCAGCTTCCACATACCAATTCCAAAACCCTCCAAAAGAAATCAATTGCACAAGCTCTAAAAACACCTCAGGAAAATACATCTTCCGAAGTATTTTTGGTCAAAAATATGAAGGATTAGGAACAAAACATAACTGATGGCAAAGCTGAAGTGCTGTCGTCAATCGGCCAACAAACAGTTAAGGTACTTAATTATATAAATATGTAATCTGTCTTCCCTTCCAATGGCCTCCAATTACACTAGCCACTTGACCTGACCTTACTGTCAATAAGAACCTATTTCAGCAATGAAACAGTGCCCTATTAAAAACTAGAAATAATGAATCTACAGCATTTTAGCTACAGCTTCAGCAATGGAGCAAAGTCAACCATCTAACATAGACCTCTCAAACATGCATGCAAAAATACATATTCTTTGAAAAAGAACTAAATGCCTCAACAATAAAAGGTCTATTCTACTATTACTTTAACTCCTTCTACCTTTTCATCCTTCAGAAATTCTGACTAACTACATGGATATTCATAATATTTGGTATGTCACCCAGAGGCACAATAAATCATACAAACAAATCTTCACTTTCATTCAAAGAGAATGAATGACTTTGCTCATCCCTGGCTTTTGAGCAGGTAAGTATAAAATATCACAAATGGTAACACTCAATTCTATACCTTTAAATAAATCACTCTTTTACAACTGATTAAATTCTTTCCAAATCTCAGCTAGTAAAAGTTGAAATGCCCATGAAGAAAGCTAAATTTCCAGCAGCAAAAAGGAATTTTCAGGTCAGGCACTTAGCTTCATTTTCATGTCTATACAAAATATCATGGTAGATCCTTCACTGCTAAGATGCTATGACCTAGGCATTTAATAACTTGATGACAATCATGCCAACTATTAAAAAAAAACAAACAAACAACAAAACAAACAACAAAAACACACACAAAAAAACACCAAAGTGGGAAACGAACCCCTGACACAATACAAATTTGCTGTCAAAAGTTTTAGAGAACATCAAATCACTAAATGGGCAAAAGGAAATGGCTAACCATTGAGAAACTGATCTTGCTGAAACATTAAGTCAGTTCTGATGGCAGTAGATCTTCCAGGAGAAAGTATGCTATTTGCGCTGTTTGAACTAGTTTATGCCAAGCAGAGACACTAAATCAGTCTTAGAAGAAAAATAAAGCAAGAAAAAGTTGTTTTTACTTACAAAGTAAATGAGAAAACAGGTTAGCACTTACTAATTATAAAAACATTAAATAATAATAGTAATAAATAAAAAAATAATCTCACTAATTGAGTTAAGCATTATCAATACAATGTTAATAGGAAACAGAGAGAACATGGTAACATACAGCGTAAGACAGAAAAGAACCTTCAAAACCAATGAGCCTAATCCTTTGATATCACAGGCATATACAGCATCACTTCTCTACAAACACATCAAACTCTCTTTTAGAAAGCATCATCTGAAAAGGCTACTCCAGATACTCATTTCCTGTGGTAGCCTGAAACCCTCCAATTCCCACTTAATATTTATTCTTGCAAGTCTATGCTCATCTGATCTTGGTTAACATCACATTCTATCTTAAAAATGTTTCATTCCTTCAACAGATACAGAATCCTTGTCAAGCATAGCTGTGCTCTCAGCCTCCTCATGAAATTAACTAAACCTGATCTAATCACTCCAGTTAAGCCAACTCTGTACTTGTTCTAATTTGAATTTATTTTTCTTGAATACCAACGAATAAAACCACATACTACAATGCAGGAAAAGTTTTTATCAATTTGTTTTAGAAAAGAAAAAAAAAAAAACTCTAAAATATTTACTTTGCTTTTTTGAAAATAACCCCAGATAACTTCTGCAATCACATTTGACTCTTTCATGAGTATCAAATTTGAGCTCATAATCCCCTACTTCTAATTTGTCCATTCCCTCTCTTTCTTTGTTGTTTTAAACAGGTGACTTTTAAATCTTCTTTCTAAACTATTAAATTCTGTTTCCATTACACCAGCTGTCGAGGCCATCCACTTCTTCCTGTACAATATTTCTCCTCCGTATGAATGATCCCACACAACTGTGCATAAACAGTAAGTTTCACATTCAAAATTTCAGGAATAAACAATGATTAATACTGTTCATTAACTAGCTCCCAGATATTCAAAATGGTACTTTTGAAAGAAATCCTTCATAGCTTTTTTCTATTTGATTAACCTTCTGCATTACCTGGATTGAATGGCTTGATCCAAATTTTCACTCTTCTATAACCTGCCCACTACTAAAAATAATTGTCATAAATATCATCTTTGACGATATCAAATATCATCATGAAAAGCACCATGATCACTGACTGATTAAATACATTAACTACCACTTCTAGCAGTAACTATAAACTGCAGTTATATTATTTTCTGAAACAAACACGTAATGTAGTTAGCAACTTAAAAATTAAATGTCTTCCATGAAGACACACCAGAGGTATTAACACTACTATGGAACTGCAATCACCATCCACGTCTATTCCTGGGGACTATGGACAGAATCCCAGAACTGACTTAATAGAAGCTCTTTTCTCCACATACTCTACAGTTTTATTTTCACTCTAACCAACTCTATTTACCCATGCTACTACTCATGACTGGTATTCATCTCACTATTAATGTAAAGCCCTATCTTATCTCGCTGACATAGGCAACCTTCAATCCCTGTTTTCCAGGCATCATCCCTTTCCCACCATAATTTCTATCCGTTTCATATCCAGTTTTGCATCCCACCTCTGTCTTTCCAAGCTTTGTTAAGGTTCCTCACAAAGGCACAGTATTTCCTAAATTATAGATTGACAGCCATATTTGGGAAAAGATTCATAGGGAGATTACCTTCCTCCTTGGACTTGAACAATATTTCCCTTAAATGTTATCCTACACCTTATCCTTGCTAATTATCCTCCTCTGATGATACATTTACCTCTGTTGCATTTCTGACTGATCTGATTGTGCTCTTTTTATGAAGAAGATAACAGTATTAAAATTCTCTTAATCTCCATTTTCTCCCTTCATTTTTTTAATTTCAAGCTCTAAGTTGTAGTGACATTTTCAATCACAGAAAACTAGTACCCAAAGTACTCAGACAGAGTCTGCCCATTGAAATAAATCCTAAAAACATCTCCAAATATGATGATTCAAGGATAAGAGACTTACATTTCAAACACAGAATCAGTACTAGAACCATTTGTTGATCAATTTCATGAAGTCATGCTTTCTCACTCATTTTCCAGGAACAAAGACTCCACTGATAGTTATCCAAGCCAATGCTTAATTTTTCGAGTTCCTATTCCAGTCTCTGCACTGATCTCTGACCCATTCCCCTACAGAAATGGAAGCATTGCTTCTACTGACAGGAAAGACAACTTGGATCCATTCCATGCTCAGGGCTGTAGTTCATCTCTAGATAGTGCTGATCTAATCATCTATTCTCTTAATAGTTTTTGTATCTTCACTGTTACTTCAATGCTCTAACTCTTTCAGACCTTCCCAAAATGCAAAAAAAAAAAAATGCTTTTCCCTTCTTCATTTTTCTGTCTGCTGTTTGTAACTCTTTGTCTTAGCTTTCATTCTCCCACATTTAAAAACCTGCTTTTAACTCTATTTATCTTTCCATGCAGTTCATCTGAGTGACTTTAATAATGCTTCCCAGTACCATTTGCATCATCCATCAGGTCC